AGAATTCTTGTGGTTCGGTTATTTTGACCATAAATTTGAAATCCACTTTGAATTCTCCTTGAATTCTCTCATTTTGGGGGGGCGGGGCCAGTGGCGGATCCAGAGCCTGATCTCGGGAGGGGCACTTGTAGATTATTTAAAGAAATAATCCTGGCACAATAACCACTACAGCTCAGTGTAGTGGTTATGTTGTCAATAGTGCCGGGACCCCCTCCTAGAGTAAGTAGTCAAACCGTTTAAGAACAGTTTGACAACTTACCTGAGGTCTGCTGGGAAATGGGGCGGTAGTAGGGCATAGGAGCAGTGGTGTGTGTGAGTGGTGCAATGTGTAAGGGGTGCAGTGTGTGTGAGGGGGACAGTGTGTGAGCAGTGTGTGTGTGTGTGTGTGAAGGTTGTAGTGTGTGAGTGAGGGTGGCAGTGTATGCCAGGGATGCAGTGTATGTGTGGAACAGTATGTGTGTGACAGTATGTGTGTGTAACAGTTGCAGTGTGTGTGTGTGAGTATTGCAGTGTATGCGTGAGTGTGGGCAATGTGTGTGTATGGGGCGGCAGTGTATGGGGCAGTGTATGTGTGTAGAGTGTGTGTGTGTGTATGGGGGCAGTATGTATGTATGGGGTGCAGTGTGTGTGTATGGGGGGTAGCGTGCGTGTATGGGGGCAGTATGTGTATTGGGGCAGTATGTGTGTATGTGGGGCAGCATGTGTGTATGGGGGCAAGCAGCAAGTAAAATGTATAAAGCAGGCTGCATTGAAATGCATGTGTATAAAGGTATGTGTGTGTATGGGGGGGCAAGTATTGGGCTGTATGTGTGCATGGGGGGCAGTATGTGTGTATGGGGTATGTGCTGTAAAGTAAGTATAAAAGTATTGCAAAGGAAGGGGTATGGGGGGGCAGTATGTGTGTAAGGGGGCAGCAGCATGTGTGTATGGGGCATGGGGTAAGGTATTAAAGCAGTTAAAGGCATGTGTATGGGGGGGGCAGTATGGGGCTATGTGTGTGTGTTAAGGGTAGGGGGCCTTTTTTTTTATAATATAGATCTTTATTTAATTAAAAAAAAACAAATATTCTATGTCCCCCCTCCCTTCTTACCTTTATATAGGAGGAGGGGGGACATATTTTCATCCCTGGTGGTCCCAGTGGTGATTCCCTGGTGGTCCCAGTGGTTACAGTGAACTCTAGCCCGCGCTCCCGGGCTAGAGTTCACTCTCGCGAGATTTGGAGCGTTGCCGCGGTTACTCCAAATCTCGCGAGAGGAGGACCCGGAGGAGCTACAGACTGAGCTCCCGGGTCCTCCCTCTTCCTCCCCTGCCGGCTGTCAGCACAGTGCCTGCGGACTGGGGAGGGAGATCTCTGATCTCTGATCTCCCCTCCGGTCCGCAGGCACATTGCAGGGCTAGAGCATGCATGTGCTGCTGACAGGGGAGAGGGAGACCGGCGGATTTCTCGGGGGGGGGGGGTCAATTGCCCCGTTGCCCCCCCCCTGGATCCGCCAGTGGGCGGGGCCTGACAGCCAAGATGGCAGGCCGCATAATCTCAGAGCTCCTGCTGCATCAGACCAAAGAGCGGAGATACTGAGCGGTCCGACAGCAATAACGGCACATGGTGACCAGCAAAGGGCACGCGACAACACAAGCACCGGAGCGCCGAAGAAAAGCTGAAACCGGCCTACGCCAGAGTGGGACCTGTGGTCCGGCGGAGGCGGCCGATCCCACGGCCTGGGACACACTCACCAGCGAGAATGCATAGCAGCCCTGCCACCCCTCCTATGGACCGGCGGGGGATATCCCGGTCCTCGCTGGGGGCGAATACCCCCATATCGCTGAGAACCCAAGCGATGAAACCCTTAAGCACCCAGAACCATCAGAGCCTAAC